AGCGGTGACCAGAAGAGAGAACTCGCAAACTCGCCCCGCCGTTTTCTCGTCCCTCGCTCGATCATCGATCGCGTGAAAATCGTTACCCTCGCGGGATACAACCTGCGCGCGATGCGACGAGCCAAGTTAAACGAAAGTTCAATGAAACGAGTGGAGTCTCCCGGACTGACTAGAGAATCAAAGATGCGATATACATATGTATCGTGTCGAAGGTATGTGAAACGTAACCGACCTGGTCATTTTTCTCGCGATAAAACGCACGTGTATCTCCTCTCTAAATTCGTGCCGGTCATTTTCGTCCATACGGCACAGACCTCCAAGAAACATTACATTCCAAAGACGTCCAGAACAGAAGAACGTTCTCAAAACGTTCTCTGCGGAATGTCCTTAGGACATCTTTATCCCTCGGATAAAGTGATGCGTGGATGAATGCGTCAATTTTACGTTACCGTTGTTTCCCTGTCAAGATCAAGATTTTCGTGATCGTCGCCGGATCTGTTTGCGTCTCCGCGTTTTACAAAAAGGGCCCCGCGGCGCGAGAGGCGCAAAAAGCGGCGTTCAAGAAAGAGATGGGATTTTTGGTAGATCAATGATACCTGAATCAATATATATCGATCGCGGGCCGAGCCGATGTGCGCGGCGCCAACATCATCGAGGTTGCCCGGGCCGGCGTTTCGGGTTGCCCCGCGCCATCGGTGAGTGTGCGGACCCACGCGCGGCTGACGGTGCCCCGTAGTGAGTACATATAGATATACACATGGCAATCTCTCACAAGAATTAGTCGCTATCGTTATCAATTAGTATCCATTATTAATTAATAGTCAATCAAGTACCGCACGAACAAATTCGCAAGTTAATCGGCAATAATAATCGTACTAATAATGATATAATAATAGGGTAATAACGCAATAATAATGATAATAATAATAATAATAATAATTATGACAATAGTAATCGCAATAGTGGTAATAATAGTCACAATAGCGTTAATAATAAATAGAGTTAATAATAAATAGACACGTTCAACATATTTCGTAGAAACTCAACGAGATTAAAAAAATGAAAAACTTTGGACGATCACACCGTAGCGTTTTCCGTCGTCGAACGATTCTACCGACGCGATTTATTCCGACTGTTTGCTCGTCGAGCATGATACGCCGTGGGTTATTGTTACTGAGTTCATGAAAGTATATAATAGGAGCTCGCAAATTGTTTCAACCGTCACCTCTTTCTTCTGCGTCGAGCGAAAAGGTTCTCTAATAAAAATGCGTCCTCGATGGATTCTCACGATCGATCGCCTTCGCGTCTGCGAGAAGAGAGAGAGAGAGAGAGAGAGAGAGAGAGAGAGAGAGAGAGAGAGAGAGAGAGAGAG